AAGAATGGATGCTTGATCTTAATTATAAAACTGTTAAATCTTTGTTTGATCCTATTATTGATAGAATTATTAAAATGATTCATGTTCAATTAATTAATTCTCAGAAATGTTCAGCAATATTTTTAGTTGGAAGTTTCAGTCAATCAAAATATTTACAAAAAAGAGTTAAAGAAGAATTTAGTGACTTGGTAGAAAATGTCTCAATTCCGAACCAACCTATTGCGGCAGTTTTACGTGGTGCAGCAATATATGGAAAAAGTTTACAAGAATCAAAGAATATGAAAAATATGAATAATTTAAAATGTGTTATTGCAACTCGTGTATTAAAATATACATTTGGAATTAGAATATCTCCTTTATGGGAATATGGAGATCCAATAGATAGACGTAAAAGTGATGGAAGAATTCATAAATTTTATTGTATTGCAAAACGTAAATCTACAGTTACAATTGATCAAGAATTTAAAGTTGAAAACTTAATTCCTATTTATTCAGATCAAACAAGAATGAGTTTTGATATTTATTATACAAAAGAAGATACTATTTATTGTGATGATGATGAACCTGGCATGAAATTACTTGGAAAATTACTTACTGATCTTCCCGATGTAGAAATAGAAAATAAAAAACCATGCTCATTTTCTTTATCATTTAGTGATATGGAAATTAAAGCTAGAGTATTTAATCAAGTAAATGGGCAAAATTATTATACCAAATTTGAATTAAATGTATTAAATGAATTAGATGGTTCTTAGATTATTGAAATAATTTAATCAATTAAATTATTTGTTACCGTTAAAATATCTTATCAAAGTTATAGAATTTAGAGGTTGTTGTAATTTATACGTCATGTTTGTATTGGAATATTTAATTAATATTTGAATAAATTTACAATATTTTTTTTTGTTATAATGTTATATAATTAATAAAATTTACAGCAATTACCTTTTAATTACTGGCTGACGTCATTATAATTCCGTCCAGGCTAATACATAGAAAAATTATGTCACTTTCCCTGTAAAAAATCTGATCCGTGTTTTGTCTTGGAAATTTTCATCTCGCTAATCAGATATCCATGAATGTATCATTTTCACAGAATTTTTACAGAAGATACGGAGAAATAATGGATAAAAATTTTTTATGGGGTTTATATCATCGCAAAATGTGTTACCAATAAATATTGTCTGACTCTGCATGTTTTATGTATCTGATGACCATTTTATTCACCAGAATATCGATATTGGAAAACAGGCATTATTGATAAAAATAACAAATGAAATCAAATTAGAGTTAATGTTGTAATATTGCGTTAGTATAAATACTTTAGATGAACGAAACACTGGTGTGGTCTGTAGGAAATAGTATAGAAACGCCTATATATTATTGAATCATGTAATTGATTTTCTATGCAAATAAAACCACATTTAACAGTATAATTCTGATCGTGACATTTAAGATCCTCTGAAAATTTGAGAAATTCTCCATGTTTATGGAATCCTGGTCATGTAATGTCAAGGAAAATTCAATATATTTGTGGAATATTTATTTTAAAAAAAAAAAATTATAAAAATAGTAGCATCTTCCTACTCATTTGCCATGTAGCTGTTTAAACTTGATTATATTACAAAATTACCATGCAAAGTTGTTCCAATCACTATACGAGTTCATTATTGTTGTTTTTTCAAATATTGGAAAATGATACCGAGATTCTTGTAATAAGGACCAGAAATATATGTGATTAAAATAATAATGCAGTTTTTTCCTTTTGTTATAATTCCTACAGAAATTTTATTACCTTTTTTAGATACTGGCTGACGTTATCAAATTCTAGCCCCCAAAAAATGCGTTTTTTCTGCTATACCTTACCTATTTTTTATTTAACATGGCAATGGACTTTTCCGTAACAGCAAATGTAAATATTTACATATCAAAGAACAAATAAACTAATCAAATTAATGTAATTAAATTACTGTTTGCCACAGTTCACTAACTTACAATATTTACAATATGTCGTAAAAAAAATTACTCGTATCAGTTATATTGACCAAACAAGAAGGACAAAATTGTATTACGCAAGATACTATAAGTAACGTTTATTAAATAGGAAATTAATATGTCTGCTTAATATTAGCATTTTTCAGGATGCAGTAACTGACATGAGATTATGTAACCTGTGGATTATAATCACATCATAATTAAGGTACGCAATGTTTTATCTTGTCCTGAAATTTTACAAGGACAAAAGCCAATATTTATAGTTTCATTCTAATTATAATAAATAATAAGACAGAGGGTTAGGTTTGAAGTATTTTAAAATGCAGACTCTTTCGGTATCGACCCTTCAAAAAAAAAAAAGTTTCAGATTTTATCACTGAAAGATGAAGTTTTAACAGGACCCAGAAATATATATATAGGGGTCAGGTGATGAAAAAATTTTTTTACTATGAGCTGTACGCATTTTTCAGGGCCGGAATTTATGATAATGTCAGTCTGTTACTATATTAGGAAATAAAATTCTGACCGGAATTATCAAAAATTATCTAAAAAAGTAAAGATTTTCATGATTTTTTTTAGTTCAAAATACGCGAACTCAAACCTGACCCTTATATATATATTTGGGTCCTGTTTTAACTTCGAATTTTTGATTTCGCCTACATTTTAATAATATGAAAATAGAGACTGTATATAAGGCATAACATAAAATAGATTTAATGTTGGATTTTTTAACATATATATCTATGTGTATGGACAGTGCCCAGTACAATTATTGTACAAATGTACTTCTATATAAACTTTTTTTTTATTAATCAACCCATGGTATTAGTAAAAGTTGTTCCCCAGGCTGAATTTTACTTACTTTGAAAATTATTTAAATATGGTTAATTGTAATATTACTTACTTCCCAAAGTTCAAAGATGCATAGTAACATTAATAGATAAGTAGAATTCCAACACGTCTTAATGTTCAAAATAAAATTAATGTTTAAGATCGCATTGACAGAAAAATTGGTCACGATGCTGTAGTGACCCTTCGATCTCGACGAGTCTTGCTCTCTAGATGATCCTTTAAACTGGTGGAATTTGATTGATACTGACCCTCGACCGAACAGCCTCCCAAGGATTGCGCACCATTTATTAGCGATTTGTCCAGATCATATTTTACAATAAGCTTCCTCAACTAGTAAATAATACACAAGTGTAATAAATTTTATATTAGTAATAATAACTTTCATTATATTTAAAAAATCATTCTTTTTATGACATAAATTTAATACATTAATTAATTAAGCTTTTTTCATCATTAAAAATTTATTGGAAAAACTGAACTTTATATGAAATCAGAACTCTTAAATAATAATATATTCAAAACATGATCCGATGCTATTGTAAAAAAAAATAATGATTGAACTAGTAATAAAAATGATTTGTTTGATAAATTTCTATGAGTTATAATCACTTTTCATTATTCTTTATTAAAATAAAATGTTTTGATTTTCTACTATAAAACGTGATATATAGAATTGTATCTTTAAATTTTGAAAAAAAAATTGATATCATATTTTATATAATGAGATATAGTAAAAACTATTTATTGCAATTAATTTGAATCATGATTTTACTATGAATCACCACATTTATGTGAATTATTTATAGCGTCATGAACATTACAAAAAATTAAAAGTTATACCAATTCGTTTTGATAATCAGCTACTATTAAACAAACTCATCATTCATTCGTATAATCGATTAAAAAACAAAACCACGAAAGTTTAATCGTAATTTTATTTTCTTTTTTTATTTCGAATTTAATGATAATGAAATATCCGAGATTAAATTACTATTTACAGTCGCCACTGGTTATACCGAACCTGTATATACTGAAAACTCGTTATATTGAACAAGGTTCCCAGATCCGATTTTCTTATAATTAATTACATTGGTTATAAGTTATAACGAATTTTACAATAAAATGTGTACCGAACCCATCTTAACAGCATAATCCTATAACTAACAGTTACGTGACTAATAGTGTAACTTTATGATTTGCTTTGTTACACGAAGTTTAATTCTGGCCGGAATTACATATTTGGCCCGAATTACCAAGGCGAGATTTTACGTTATAAATTTAATAATGAAATTTGAATATAATTAAGTAGATTAATCACTAGATTTATAAGTTTCTAACCATAAAAAAATTTTTTATTGATTGCGTACATCAATCAAACAAATTAAACAAATTAATTAAAATTTATCCTTTATTTAATTCACTATTGGCTAATAACTTAATTTTTTCTTCTTGCATTTTTTTACCAATTATATATGGGGACCCGTACAGCAAAAGCTGGGGATAATTTCTTTTTTTTTCAGGGCTGGAATTATTATAGTGTTAAAAGGAAAGATCTACACAGTTATACCAAATTTATATATATTTCTTGGTCCTAAAGTAAAGTAAATCTCTCAAGCTTGAATAATGCCCCTATGAGACACTTTTATTTTACGAACAATATCAAAAGTTTATGAATTCAATAAATATTTTGATTTGTATATCTAATGAGAAAAATAATTGGTAATAGCCCGGGTATACTCGGGTCACCACTGATAAGTGATAAACGGGTAAAAAATGGTAATACCCGTGGGTAACACCTTTTTTTGTTTGGGTATGATCCAGTTTTATCCTAATATAGAATGGTTAGCACGTAATCCGATGACGATATTAATTTATAATCTAATCTCCAACCCATGTACCCATATATATCCCTTGCACAGCGCCCAATTTTCTATATTTTTCCAAAAATTTGTAGGACAATTAAGAATGACCGAAAGTTACTCAAGGGGAATTGCGGTATTTGAACCATGATACAATTATCTCATTTAACGACCATTAAGGTAAGTGCAACATTAATAAACGTCATAAATTTAATTAATCCGATTCATACTATTTATTAATTAAATAATAAAAGTAAAATTACTAATTTGTAAAAAAACTCCTTGACGCGGTATAAGCCGAAATGAAAAATGGAAGGTACCGTAAAAAATAAATCTTAATTTCATAATGATACAATTCATAGAATAATAAAATTCCTAATTAAATAAAATCTTAAATAAATAAAAACATATTAATAAAATTAGAGATGCTGACGTCAGCATAATTTGTATTAGTTGTATAAATCCCATTAATTGATAGATTCAGAGTTTAAATTATTATCCATTTTAACCTGTTTTACTAATTTTTTTTTTTTGTATTAGAATAGTAACGTAAAAAACACATAAACTGGACTTAATTATACAATTATAATTACCATTACACTGAACTTCGGATGTTAATTCTTCAATATTACGTTTTCTTGAAGAATTCAGTGAACTCGATGTTTTACTAAATAATATATTGCGTTTAAATTTGTGAATTAAATTCATGTAATATAAAAATTCATACAAGTACCTTTGAATATGATTTATATCAAGCAAGTATTCTTTTGTAACATATTCTAATAAACAAATAATGAAAAATGTTAATTAACATTAATCATTAAAAATATTTTTGAATTAAAGTACCTTTATTGCTTCCAATCGATGGTTGCAACTTATCACCTAATAGAATAAAAGTATTAAAGCATTAATTAATTAAATGAAAAATATATAGTAAACTATGATAATATATAAGTACTTTTTGATAGTGAATTAATGAATGATGATTTAGAAATAAAAGACCTTAAAGGTCTACTCGTATAAATTGCTTTTGCATGCAAACTTTCATTAAATTCAGGACTAATTTTCTTTGATTTTATTAATTCTTCTCTGGTTTTCTCGGCTTGCTTAAATTGACCACTAATAACATCATCCTTAAATGAATTAAATGACCAAGAATAAATAGTTTCGCAAATCTCTTTTATGGAAAGCCTTTTTGAAGGATCAGGATCCCAGCAACGTTCCATTAAATTAGCATAACATTCTGGTGTATCACATGTAATTTTAGGTCGTTCCCCATCAATAATTTTATAAATAAGGTTAATGTTATGTTCAATATAAGCAAAAGGTTTACACCCTGTTGTTAGTTCCCACATGATCATACCCATACTATAAATATCGGATTCTTTTGAAAAAGCAAAACCCCTAAATATTTCTGGTGCAATATAAGGTATAACACCATAAATTTCGTTATTAATTGAAGTATTTTTTGCAGGTTGGGATAACCCTAAATCACCAATTTGCCATTTTCCAATAGTTTCTATTTCACATAATATATTGCCACTATGAAAATCTCGGTGTATAAAATCATTTTCGTGAATAGATTTAAGTCTAAATTAAAAAAAATATTGATAACATATTAATTATGGATAACTTATAATGCCAGTAGAATTTTATTACCTTTTTTAGAAAACACTGGCATTATCGTAATTCTGGCCCTGAAAAATAATAATATTAAAAAAATATAAGTACCCCTCTGTAATTTGCCATAAAATATATAATTTCTTATCCCACGTAATATCATTAAAATTTTTCCGTAAATAATTATGTAAGTCTCCTCCTGATGCATAATTCATTATAATCATATATTCTTTTGTTTTTGGATCTTTTGTAATACCATAGTACTTAATTATACGATTATTATAACACTGATGAAGTGAATTTAACTAAAAAAAAAAAAATTAATGTTAAAATAAATTTGATAAATTTGATAAGTGACAAGTAAAATAAATTATAGAATATGACATGCCTCATTCAAAAAATCATTGCTTATATCTTGTATATTTAGAAACTTTTTAATGGCAACAAGCTTATTTTTGTTTCTAATACTTAAAAAATCATCATGTTTGTATTTACTACCGTCTAACAACGTTGCTTTATAAACAATACCAAATCCTCCTTCTGCTATTTTTTCAAGATTTTTAATTTGAGAATATGGAATCCATCTCATTATTTGTGTATTCTTAAGATTATTTTCAATAAAATTGTATATATCTAATGGGTTATCGTAATTTTTATTATTTATATAATCTGCAATTTTACTATTATTTTTATTATTTGATCTTGTAGAAATAAGGAATTTCTCAATATCAATATTTTCACTATTGATATTATCAAAATCAATATTTATGGAAATTTCCGATGTTCTTTCACATATTTTGCATTGAGATTTATTTGTAATTCCAAAAATAATATTGGTTGTCAAACAATACCTACATCCAATATAAATTAGATAACAAAAAGAGCATATTTTTTGACAATCTGATATAAACATTAAGTCCAATTTGCATATCATACATTGACTATTAGCATCCCACCATAGTAAATAAATAATTTGGATAGGCTTTTTAGTCAATGATGATTCAATCAAATCAGTAGTAATTATATAGCAATTTTTACATAGTTTAAAATTAATTTGATCATTCTGCCGATAAATTATTGATTTCTTACATAATTTACAATAACTTTCATTTTCAATTATAATATTATAATTATTTTGTTCTTTAATATCAATAGGATGGAACGAATAATTTGTAACAACTTGTTCAAAATATGAGAATTCATTAAACCATTCTTGGATATTATCCGAACGAATATTCTCGCAGTTTGCATTTGTATATACGTTATATACGTTCAAATACTCATTAATTATATTAATCATAGGTTTGTCATATTTAGTTATTTCCTTAATATACTTAAAAAAGCATTTCTCACAATATTTTTGTTTAAATAATATTGTCTTGGAATAATTTGTTTTACAATAATTACAATGATTTTCGTTATTATTAAAAGGAAGGAAATAAATTATTATAGGACTAGATTTTAATCGTTTTAATCTTGGGGTTGGATCCATTTTTTGCTTAAGGTTGAAAGCACACCTTATAAATAATGAAAAAGCTCATCTTATAATGAAAAGCTCAGAATTCGGAATGTCGATCATTTGGCCAATCGACATTTCCAGATCATCGAGCCCGTATGGACCTGATTGATATATTTTTTATTTAAAACCACTTTGTTCGCCAAACTTAGTTATTTGGATTAAAAATTTATTAAACTGTAATTAGTAAATACCGGAAAACATAAATTTTTTTTTTTAGTAGAATTAGCCTTTCCGTATTAATGATTTTGTATTACATTGTACAATTTTATTTGTTTTACAGATTAGTATAATTATTAAGCACATTTATCGATTAATTACATAATTCTGATATAATTTGGATCTCGTTCATCCCTTCTTTAATTAATTGAGTAAAATAATTCATTTTTAATTAATTAAATTAATTAATTTTTTTATTATTATTCAAATGAGAGAATAAGGAGGGATGTTATTTATAATTTCCCCTAATTAATTTTATTATAGGAAATGTCCACCGAGTCACCGAGATAACAGTATTTGGATTACAGCTGATTTCATAATGTACCGGACACTTTAACAAATTTTAAAGAACTCGGAAATATTCGGTAAAGCTTGATATAAAATAAAATACGCTAATTTTGGAGTACTATTCCGAGAATGGTGGTATTTATTTGAGCTATTTTCAAGTGTCATACATTATGAAAATCAGCTGACAACCGGCTAAATAATTTACCGAAAGATTGAGGTGATTGGCTATTAGTAATCGTGTAACATCTAGAAACGATAAAACAATCAATATCTATATTTATACAGTATTTTAAAATGATCTACTTATGCCATTATAAAACACGATATATTTTTAAATTACTTCATAAATGTTATACAGTTAGAATCACTATATAAAATACCAATAATCTTCCGAGATTGTCCAAAGTATGTGGAATAAAAACTAACAGCTAGACATGTAAAAATTTTTATAAAAAAAAGAAACATCTATAATAAATCTTTAAAACCAATAAAAAATTTTATTCGTTATTTCTGTAAAAACTCCGTAAAAATAAGCCTTTCCCGGATCTATTCACGGAAAATTTAAATAATTCGATAAAATCCGTTGATACATTGTTATTAATTCCGGAAATATGAGCCTTTTACGGAAAAAGATGGAATATAAAAAACGGACCGACTTTTTTTACAGGAAAATATTTGTGTTCACATTTACTAAAAGCAATTAAACATCCGTGAATAAATTTTCATACGAAGTTTTCTCAAAAAAAATAAAGTTCAGAATTGTGAGTATTTAGCCATATAAATTCTATCCAGTTTAACATATCGGCGAATTTGCGTAATCACATGTCATTTGACTATAATAAATTTATTTAATATTATCGGTACAACTACATATGACCATAAAATAGTTTAATTTTAGATATCGATATACAATATACTGCATATTATTTATAATAAGTAATATTACAATTATTAAAAGTATTCCTTGTAAAAATTTTTTAAGAGAGTCTTATTAAAATAAAATAAACTTTATATAGAATGGTCAGGTCGTACGATAATTTGGGTTAGCCAATGGACCGCTGGTACACGTGATCAAATGCCAATCAGTCAATTATAAATAAATTACATGTGAAACTAAGTGATATTGTAATATATTAGTAATTTCCGTTCTTCAATCATATAATCAAATAATGATTACCTCTGAAATAGGAATATAGGACCCGGAAAAGTCTCATGTCTGAGGTAATCTAGATCTTTCCTTCGATGGATATTTTGATAATTTTAGTCGGGAAATTATTTCCTTTTTTAGATATTGGCTGACATTATTATAATTCCGGCCCTGAAAGAGCTAATAGTAAATTTTTTTTTTTGTTGCACATTGCATCCTATATGAGACTTTTGGGGGGACCTGATCTATGTTATTATTTATTATTTCGGAGCTTATTCGAAGTTCACTTTAATATTTTAATTTATTTTATTTTGAAATATATGAAAAAGATCTCAATAATACTAAATTTTATTTATTCCAAAACAAATTGTTTGACACAATTGTTGATAATAATAATTTCAATCCAATAGTGATATAATGATGCAGTATATCAATATTTATGGAAACAGGTGATATGTTATGTTTGCAGTTTACTGATATTTTAATCTGAAATAATCAAGTAAAATGTGGTTTTTTATATAAGTTAAAAATTCTTTGAAATGACAACATTCAACAGTTTCTATTATTTTTTATCCTGTAAATATGTTAAATGTATTTAAGGAATTATCTTTGAAACCAACTAAAAAATATATTATATTATTTAAGAATTTATTTATAATTATACAGGGATACAAAAAATTTAAAAATTTTACAATTCTTTTAGAAAATGTTAAAATAATGAAAAGCAATTATTATTTCTAGATATATCATTTCACAAAAAAAAAAATATCAGACTAATTTTATACCTAATAATAATAATTGTAATTAGAATATCTGTAAACATAATACATAATAAATTTATTCAAATCAAAAAAATTATAAAATTTAGTAAATAGTTAATAGGTTTTTAAAAAATATTGTATTTTGTTGTATATGACATTTATTAAATAATAATATTAGGTTACTTCATTTAATTTATGCAAACACATATTTTTCAACTTATAATAGTAATTCAAACATAATATTATGATTCAATAATTACAATACAATATCCTGCTGGTCGACACTTTACTGTTCAAATACTTCAAGTATTACTGATGAAAGCCAGAATTATTAAATTACATAGAATTGTTACAATGTCATAATACTACAATTAATATAAAGTCAATATTTATGTATAAAAGATTACATACTTATTTCATTGGAAATTGGATCATCCTACACAATTTATATGATCTTTTCAATGATTTTGAGCAAAAATTGTTCATATTTAATTAATTAAAATCCTTCATATTATTCATAGAATTCAAAAGAAGTCTCAATTGTATTAAGCACCAATTTTGTCAAGATTTTTACTTATAATTAGACAATTAAATCATATAATTAGAGAATACACAATTGACTGCTTAATTTATGAATGTTCAGTAATAATAAAGTGCATAATAGTTGAAGTTGAAATTATACAAGCAACAAGCAACAAGCAAAGCGAACAATGCAAAATTTAATAAAATTATATTATGTAATATCTTTATAATATTATGATGAAAGCCTATACATTGCATTTGACAAATCATACTATGAACTCATAGTAGAAATATGATTAATATATATTATATAAGCATTATTCTTCTACATCAATTATAACAAAATTATGTAGTATTATAACTGGAAATGGATATTTTTTTTAAATCATCATCCAGTTTTACAATGAAAAAAAAATAGTTACATATCATTTGAGCTATTTGTTTTAGACAATTATTCTTCTGAAGACATTTTTGAAATCAAAGTTGATGAAAATGAGACTTTTCACAATTTCATGGAAACCATTAAGCATCAAGAGAAGAAAAATTGGTTTTAAAAACACAATAGACTCCAGATTCTGAAAGTAAATCTTCCTTCTGATAAGCCAAGTAATAAATTAGCTTTTCTCAAACCAACTAATAATATTAAGAGAACACTAGATAATTGCAAGTGATACTTCCCTATTCTATAATGAGAATTGCTATATTATCATTTTACTGTCTTTTCACCAATTCTCGCATGTTCTTTGGAAACGATGAATACCGCAAAGTACAGGTAACGATTGTTACAGTGAATCTTGGTAACGATGTTCGTAAATTTTTTTGGAAACTATGGTTACAATAAAGATCATATAACGATAGTTACTATAGTTTGTGATAACTCTTTTTGTTCGGATTTTCAGTGCAATTGTCATTTCTTGACAGGTCACACAAAGCACATGATACCCTGAACATTTGTTCAGAGTGTCACATGTTCGAAAAAAGAAAAAAAATTCTTTAATTAATGAAATTTATTCTATTTGCAACTTTAGATATCTATTGATTTTTATTGTTTGACCCAAATAGAAATAAAATTTGTCGATCGCTGCCATGAACTGTGGTACATTTAATAAAGCTGCCATTTTTTTTTTTCACGTTGTTTATACATCAATTAATCTGATATGGAGGAATTTAAGCTCAGTGATGATGTAATTGAGCAGATAAAAGATTTTAAATATTATGGATTAACAAAGGAACAAAGTTTGTTAATTGATAAGCTAATATTAAATGAAGAATTAAAAAAATGTTATAAAGTAAATGGATTATGCAAAAAATGTAATCAGCCTAGAATTCGTCATGATTGGTGTCAATCATGTAATGCTAAATATTGTCAACAAAATTTCAAAAATTGGACTAGTGGAAATAATGAAGTTGATAAGTTTATTCAAAAATCACAACTTAACGCTAAGTGTAATTATGAAATTTTAGAGTGTATTGAATATGATAGATTTGAAAATGTTAAATATTTGGCCAAAGGAGAGTTTGGAACTATTTATAAAGCAATTTGGAAAGATGGTTTTATAGATTCTTTGGATTTTGAACTTAATCAATGGAAAAGAAGTAAATATTGGTGTGGGTCACATAAAAATTTTCCAGTTATTTTAAAATGTTTACATAACTCACAAGATATTACAGCCGAATTTTTAAGAGAAGTAAGTTACTAATTAATATTTTTTAATAATAAATGCTAAACTGACTATTATTTATTATTATGAATTCTTTTTTAGATTGAATTATATACTGTGTGTAGTGGTCCGATAATTTTATGTCATGGCATTACTAAAGATCCAAAATCCAATAATTTTATGATGGTAATTCCATACGCAAAAAATGGTAGTTTAAGACAACATTTAAATAAGAGTTTTAATTCAATAGACTGGGATGAAAAGTTATATATTTACAAAGGACTGCAGAAGGCCTTAAGAGTATTCATGAATATACCGTGATTTTCATTGTGGTAATATATTAGTAAGTAATGCTAATGAGTATATTTTTATCACTGATTTAGGATTATGTCAACCAGCAAATGAAAAACCATCCCAAGATGAATATAAAAAAATATATGGAGTATTACCTTACGTAGCACCTGAGGTTTTGAGAGGAAAAGAATATACTCAAGAAAGTGAGTTTTATGGATTTGGGATTATTGCATATGAAGTTTGTACGGGGCTTCCTCCTTATCATAATATTGCTCATAATAAATTATTAACTATTAGCATTTGTCAAGGGCTTAGACCAAAATCTGATTATAAAGTTCCTCAACTAATTTTGGATATAAGTAAACGATGCTGGGATGCAGGCCCTTTAAAACGACCTAAAGCAAATGAATTATGTGATATGTTAGTCATATTACGTGATGAATTAAAAAATATTAGTTGTGAAATCAGTAAGCAAATTAAAGAAGCAGATAAAATTAATGAGAAATTAACTTCCTCTTCATTAATATATACCGGTACTACTCTTTCATATACTACAAATCCTCAAGCAGTTTACACGAGTAGATTTTTAGATTTTAAAAATCTTCCAGAACCAAAAAATGCTATTGATAACGGGATTGGACATAACTCATTTGGGGAATATTCAGGTACTTATTAATGTCCTAGAATATTTTATCAAACGTTCTTGAAATAAATTTAATTTGAAATTATTTTTTTTTGCATTGTAGAGTCCATAGAAGCAATGGATTTTACTAAACTCAACCTAGGCACTCCATTTGTATTAACTTTATATGGCTAATTTTATTAATATTAATATTAACAATTTACTTTAATAATTTGATTTTTTAGATAAAACAACTGAATAAAGGAAAGGAAAGGAAGCTTACAAAATATTCAGAATATAAATGTCCTACTTGTAGCTATTGTTTCTACATTACTATGTACTATTATTATTGAAATATTTCTATTATGATTAAAATTTATAATTATAGTATTAAATTATTATAAACAAAGTGATTGGATTGATAGTATAAAGCATATAGCACCATTTCATCAGGTACTTTGCTTTCTTGATCACGTCGTCATTTTGTTATCCTGTACGGGATTAGATTTTATTAAAATTGGTATATCAACTTAATATTCCTTATTATATCTCTTTGAATCTGGACGTATTATTTACGATTATCAGTTATGAAATTAATTGCCATTTCGCCCAAATTGGTCAATATATCCGCAAGAGATTATGTTTCATCAATTTAATTTATATTTTTACTACCTTTGAAAGAATCGGTACGTTCACTTGTTCACGTTCCTTTATACTTTTTGCTTTTCTTTTGTAATTATATAACGGATAAATTATGCAAAATTACGTTAAATTACGTTTGATAATAAATTAATTTAGTAAATATCTTTGTCTACCTAAACAGATCATGACGTTTTAAATTTTTATAAATGACTCCTTTCCTTATTTTATTTTATTAATATAGTGATAATTTTTTTATAATCATTGTCCATAGATAGTAAAAAAATAATAGAATAACAAGCAAAAAACGAAGGTGGAAGGCATTGTACATTAATTCCGTAAATGATATAGCTCTCTTGGAATATAATCGTGATAGGATTTGACAGGATTTTTGACCGTTATCATAAATGGAAAAACAAAACATATGTACTAATAATAATTTGCGGCAACAAACTTATTATTACAAAATAGCGTGGGAATTTCGTGCAAAAAATCATCTCCCTGCCATTGAAGAGAAAGCAATTGTTTTCCTTAGGTTTAATGAAACAGGGATATGGTACAACAATAGATTATTATGAAAAGTTAAAAAAATGTGCATGTAGACTTAATTTAGGTTACGAAGAAATCCGTATTGATGGTCTACATGAAGAATGGCAGGATGAAGTCATGCGAATCAGAGAAGACTTTCCTTTAGATGAGATAGCAAAAAAACTGGAGAAAGTGGAATTATGAAGAATGTCTAGGATGAAAAATCAAACATTACAATCCCCACGAAATCAGAACTTTTATCAATATCATCCTGAGGCATCAAAGGAATTTGTGGCCCTATAAGAAATATGTATACGGAAAGGATACGTTTTGTATACATTTTATGTACGTTTCTATAGATTCCGTATACAAATTCCGTATATTTAATAAGCAATTCATTTTTGAACATTTTTTTAAAAAACTAATGTATACGAAATGTATACGGAAAAAATTAATCATACGGAATGTATACGGAATTTTTAAACTTGATATTTTTAGAAAATAATTTTACAAAAATCTCGTATCATTAACATGAGATCACGTGATTGTTTATTGTTTTGTTATGATACGTTTTTTGTTTTTATATAAACCCTTACTTTGATGAGTTTGATCTTCCGATCTTCCTTTCTGTCTTTCCCTTCCTTCTCTTTTGTTATTTTTTCTAAAATTTTCTTCTTTTTTCGTCACCCCCTTTTAAAAAAAAATTTTTTTTTTTCGTACCTCACTTTAAAATTTTTTTTTTCATCACTCTCCTTAAAAAAAAAAATTTTTTTTGATTTTATTCTTTTATTCCCACTCTTCTTTTTTTTTAAAAAAATTTTCTTTCTATTTCTATTTCCTCTTTATAAAAAATTTTTTATTTTTCTAACTTTGACGTCCTCCCTTTAAAAAAAAAAATTTTTTTAACTTTCCTAACTTCGTTACTCTCTTTTTAAAAAAATATTTTTTTTGATTTATTCTTTATTCCCCTTTCTTTTTAATTTATATTTATCCCTTTTTTTATTTCATAGGCCAGCAGATTTTTTTTTGTGAGAAGATTCAGTTTCTTTTTTCTTTTTTGTAGATCAGTTTGGGAGTCCTTTCCTTTTTGTAGGATTGTTCAGGATTTTTTTCTTTTTTTAGGTCAGTTCAAATTTTCTTTTTTTTTTGTAAGTTGGGTTCAGATTCTTTTCTTTTTGTTTCAGTTTTGTTGCTTTAGAGTCTTCTTTTTTTGTAGGTCAGTTTTGGATTTATTTTGTTGTTTTGGTTTCTTTTTCATCAGATGCTTCATAATTCTTTTCATTTATGTAGGTCAGACATTCTGGACGGAGTTCTCTTTCTTTTTTTGTAGGAATGCTGACCTTTGGTGACTTGGACGATTACGATTGCAGATACTATATGAAGGGGGTTTTTGTTTCCAATTAAGTTAGACGTTCTTATGTTTCTTTTTTTTGTTTTTTTTTAGGTTGTTTGACTCCAAATGAACCTGAACTTATAGATAATTTTGGTTGCAATAGGTGTTTTTAATAAGGAGGGAATTTTCATAATGTATTTGCATTTTGTTTATTTTTTATTTTTTATTTAATTTAATAAAGTAAAATTAGATTTATGTAAATATAATTATAGTAAACTAATACAAGTAGTAAATTCAGTGACCAAATCGTATAAATTTCGTGATAAAATCAGTGATCAAATCATGTAAATTCCATATGAATTCCGTGCAAATTCCGTATCCAAACCATATTTTTAGTGATAGAGAATTGTGCATTTTTCCGTATCCTATTATGATACGTTATTTCTAAGGAAAAAAATCGTATAAAAACTTTATAAAAAACGTATCCAATTTTTTTATAGGGTGGTGTATTTGTAGAATTAAACATTCCAAGAGCAACAATTCTGCCACATCTTATTATTTAATTTTATCAATTTTCTTGTTGGTTCAAGACTTCCTGTTGAATTTCAAATAGGTCAATAGTAAAGTTACAAAGAGTAACTGTTGGGGGAACAACGGGGAAATATCCAGCAGCAGCAGGAATCGTCGGCGGGTCCCAGAAAACTGCATTTACTGGAATAGTTATTTGAAATGCGGGGATATTAGGAGCATTACAACCAGAGAGGTAAGCATTGTCTGTTGGACGTCCTAATTGGTGAGTACCGAAATCCCACTAAAATATATTGAGGTTATTAAGACGTTTTGATCAAAAATAAAAATTATAAATTAGCAACTTACCGTTATATATCCAGGTACTCCTTGCTGAAATAACATCGCTGTCATTGATCTGTAGAAACGTCTTTGGAGATCCCGCGTTGTCCTTTTTTCATGTAATTTAATACCAAGTACATATCTTACATAAACTTGATTTAGCCAATTTTGGCATTTATTTCTCAAGTTACCAATACTTTGTTTATTGGCTACTTCACAAATTATTCGAGCATGTGGATTCCCCTAGATGAAAAATATTAATGTTAGAAAATCGTAAATCAAATATCAGGTATTACAAATCTAAAAAAATACATTTTTATCTCCAGGAGGAGGGCCAGGGTATGGAACAATAGGTTGTTGGACATGATTCCCATTTGGTTTAACTATAACATCCGAAGCTATGAATTGTCCCATTACAGTAGGATTATAATGGACTAAAAGAGGGATGTAAAATATTTGAGAATCAATTATATATAGATTGAGAACCAAATATACTAGAGGAGTTCTCTTACATCCATCACCGGATACACTTATTGGTTTGTTAAGAATGACTCCGCCATTTGCAATGTTAAAATAGTCTTGGAGCAACTCGACAACAGCATTATGTTCTGGGTCGCTCATATCGATCACATACACGTCACCATTAGTTATATGTTCGTATTTGTACCCAGAAGATTCTTTACGTTGAAGAAAATTATTGTACTCTTCTGCAGTTATTTTTGAGCCAATCTTAAAAGGAAAACTGTCATTCATACAAGTTAATACTGAACAGATATAAAATAACTTGTGTATGATGCCCACTCACCTGCTTTCACTTAGTGGTTCGTCTTTTATTTATGGATGTGGTTTAAGTAGTTTCTTTAAATTTTTTAGAGTCTCCTTCGCTAACCACACACCAGGAATATAATGTAAACGATGATTTAGACTAGACATTTTGGATACTTCTAAAGGGTAATATTTTTTTCGTAATTATAATGATAAATGTGATCCGATTTCGCATCAATTGCAAAATTTATTTCTAAAAATACGATTTTGCTAGTCGTAATTGTGTCCTTAAAATGTTATTAACTAACTTATTGGGTTACTCCTTGAAATAATAAACTCCAGATTACAATAATAACGTATTCTTTCCGTGATAAATGGATAAATGTGATCCGATTTCAGAACAATTAACATCAGTATTTATTATTTCGTTAAAAAATTTGTGCTACAAATTAATTTTTTTGATGATGTAATGCCACAAGTACGTACTGTTGTACTGTACAACGCTCGAATTTTTCGTGTAACTGAGTTCTGCCAATATAAAGCCTTTTCTCAATCTGGTTACTTTTTTTTACTTCGTTAAGAAATAAACCTTTCACGCCACGCCGAAATTGCTACATATTTGAAAGGTAAGTGTAGCACAAAATGTCTTCAGTAATATGCTAGGAAATTAATTTTTCAACAATTTTATTATTTTATGGTTTCAAATTATAGATTAATTTACAAATTAGAATTTCAAAAAAAAAATTATTATAGAAATATGACAGGAAACGTATCATATAGTAAGAAGTTTGAAGTATTCGTAGCAATTTTGACAATGCTATTACGTCGGCGTGAGTCACGAAATACAAACATAAAATATTAACGACATCTCAACGGACCTACGTACGAACAAAAAAAACACACGTATGTACTAATTTGCGTTACCGTACGGTCCTATTTGAATTTGCGTATCTTGAACTAAAAAAATCATGAAAATCTTTCCTTTTTAGATAATTTTTGATAATTCCAGTCAGTCCTATTATAATATTATAATAACCGACTGACATTATCATAATTCCGGCCCTGAAAAAATCATAGTAAAATTTTTTTTCATCACCTGACCCCTATATATTTCTGTGTCCTCATGGAATAGAAAAAATCATATGGTTCTTTTTCGAAGTAGTAATAATAATTATTATTATTTATATGATATTTATTTATTTAATTTTAGAAAATTTTAGAAATTTTTTTTTTTTCAAAAAGTCATATTTTTTAATGAATTTTCGTAAAACGAAAAGAAACAAAAAAAAATTCTATCAAGAAAGGCTTCCCAAAACAAAACTGACAAAATTGGATGATTTTGATCATTGTTCTTTTTCGAGTAAAATGTTGAAGCAAATAAGATAGTACCAAAATGCAATTCTGCCAACCGACATGATTTCACATTTACACCAAAAATATAAAATTTCAAGTTTAAATTTTGTAATTATTGACAAAAATCTTATCCAAGTTTCGTTTTGGCTGGTGAATAATGGTGTATCGGTAAGACAATTTTTGGAAAAGGAAAAAATGTAAGCGAATAACAAATATAATTAGATTTGGCGTAATAAAGAAAACTTTAATAAAGCAAAACAATTAATTCATTTATTACTCAATTTTATTTTAAAAAGTAATTTTGAAATTTTGAAACTAAAACTCCTTTGTTTCATATAATCTACGTTTAGTTAGTCTGTATTATTATTAAATAGGTTATTTTAGTTAACAGCATTTTTTTTTTAAGTAAATAATAACATTAAAATATAAAAGTATAATATAAAGATTTACCTTGCTTTCTTTTTTGTTGAGAACTTTTTTCGCGATCTTCAATATATATATATTTGTAAGGTCGCTGGAATAAATAACTATATGAGCTAAAATGATTTTCTTCATAAAAAAAAAGGAATCGAGACAAAAAAAAAAAAATACGAGTCTATAAAGGATGTGTACCCAAAAATAGGTTAAGTTATTGACCAGTGACCACCGCATACCAGGATAATAATGAATGAGCACGTGACTTATCAAATGATCAATTGGAAGTTGCAGGTTTTTACAAATCAAAAAAAAAAGGTAGTAAAAAAATTCTTATTAATTACATCCGGAACAGTTTTTATTCTTTTAAATAAAAAGGAAAGAAAAAGAAATCTAATATAAAACTGCAAATATAAAAAAGAAATAAAAAAAATTGCTAAACAAAAAAAAAGATTGCGGCCTAAGGGTATGATGCATGCATAATCTTGTA